TTTTGATGGTGCCGTGGATACGTGAAAAGACGTGCCCCGCACGTACGCGCCAGGCGCACGTTGCGTCTCCCCCGCGCCCAAGCTGGATCCCCCCTGGGGGGGCGTGGACAGGTGAGAATACGTGCCACGCGCGCGCGCCAGGCGAATGTTGGGCCCCCCTCCCCCCGCGCACGTATGTTTGATCAGGGCCACGGCCAAGTGCAAGTGCGAGCTTCGCGCGCACGCGACAGGCGCGCGTTGGGCCCCCCTCCGCGCACTCATGTCTAGATGAAAAAGAAGCCAGCGGGCTAAGCTGGGCCCCTCGCTGCGGGCTGCGGACAAGTACGCGCACGTGCCCCGCGCGCAGGCGCCAGGCGCATGTTGGGTCCCCCCACTCCGGACATCACAGTCGGGGCGTTGACCTAAGGAACCCTAAATAAGGAACGAGGCCCCTTTTTTCCCTAAGTTTACCTTCGATTTCCTGTCGAAAGCATAAGGAAAGCCTGAGGCAAGCTGTGAAACACTGAAGGAACGCGGAGCCCCTCCCCAACGAAAAGGGTTCCTTCTTCAGGGCCCCGACTGCGTCCTTTTCCGTGGGGAGAATCCGGCGGGCTGAATGGAGCCCCTCGCCTGCGGCCCCGTCGTGGCCAGAAACGCGTCCAAAGCGCGTGCCGACCGCAGGCGCGCCGGCACTCGTGTTGAAGGCCCCTCCCCCTTCCACAGACGTATTTTTACGTGCCCAGTTCCGACGCCTGCTGCTCGACACCCTCCTGGTGGAGGACCTTGGGCCCGCGAGCGAAGAACCCTGGGCCAGAGCCATACTGGGAACAGCATTCAATCGGGCTGCCGAAATAAGGAGCGCTAAATAAGGAACGAAGCCCCTCTGTGGCTTCAGAAAGCCTGGGTGCACGAGAAGGGCTAGAAGAACAACCACGGAAGGACGTACGGAACATCGAGCCCCTTCCGAATCCAAACTGTTCCTTATTTCAGAGTCTTGGCTGTAAACCTAAATTTGCGAAACTCCCCGCGGATTTCTTGGATCGGCGCCGGGCCCCCCCCCTGAGCGCGCCAGGGACCCAGCGCCGACGCAAGAACTCCGCGCGGAGCTTCGAAAGTCCAGGTTTATGCTGTTTGCTTTTGTTCGCCCGTCCTCGATCGGCTCCCCGAGCACGACCAGGCTGTAGCACGCAGCGAACAGCGGCACGCCGGCGTAGATCGTCTGCGCCTGCGCCTGGGGGAACAGAAAGGTGCCCAGCCTGTCCTGGGGCGCGCTCTGACCAGCACCTCGAGGCGAGCCCAGCCGTGGCGACGAGCACTCCCCGAGCTGCGGCCTCGGTGCGCCTTCGTCCTCGGGGGCGCCGGCGGCACCACTCGCTGGCCCTTGGCCTGCAGCAGGGTGGCCACCACCCCGGGGGCCACGGCGGAGAAAAGCAGCAGCCCCCAGGCCTCCGCGGGCAGCCGCCCCAGCTCCGCGCCCGCGTCGGCGCCCCCCAGGCCGCAGCGGAGCCCGAGCACGGCGAGGGCGCAGAGCGCGCTGAAGAAGAGGCGCGCGGGCGCCAGGGCCTCGGCGGCGTAGGTCCTGGCCTGCGAGGGGGCGGCGGGAGCCCCGAGCTCAGGCGGTTGCAAGGCGTTCCGCGCCGGGCGCTGTCGCCCGGTCTCGGGGCTCGGGGCCATCAGCGGTCGATGCGGCTCGAGGAACGCCACGGGAAGAAGGGTAATTATAGGGCTGCGGTCAGAAGTTCTCGCGATGCCGCAGCGTTTTCGCGACGTCATATCTCAGGGAAAGGGGGGCGCTGGCCAGAGGGGGCGCCGGAAAAGGGAGCGCGCCAACAAAACACCTGCACCAGTCCTGGCCAGGCCCGTCGTGGGTCCAGGGTCCGCATATGTCCTCCTGATTTGGCGAAAAATGTATCTGCACCAATCCTGGGCCCAGATGGGCATGGCCACGACTGGTGTGCGTGCACAGCTGGCGCCCTCCGAAAGAGGGGGTTGGGGGGCTTGCTCGGGGGGGAAGAGGAGGGAAGAGGAGGAGGAGGAGGAAGAGGAAGAGAAGAGGAAGAGGAAGAGGAAGAGGAAGGGGAAGAGGAAGAGGAGACTAAGAATATAGAGCGATGAAGCGGAAGGTTCCCTTTACGGGAGTGGCGTCTAGCGGGGAGGAGCACGCGACTAGTAGCGGGCGCGCTGAATAATCAGTTTGGGCCCAAACGGCCGCACTGAGTAACCCTACCATGAGCTACCCGCGACAATTATTGCCCCGATATTTCCGTGACTCTGCGACAATCCCTGCCTGACTACCTACCGTTCGAAAACGGTGTTCAAGGGGTCCTTCGTGCATCGGTGGTTACCCTGGCTCTATCAGGACAACCCCGAAGCACAATGGACTGTCATAAACTAATCATGTCCAATGCTTACAGCAGCGCGGCAAAATATTAAATGGAGCACGGGCCTCACGGAAGACTGCCACCCCGACCACCTAGTGGAAGGAAACAACACTCATTTGCCATACTCAACTGTCGCCACGTCAGCAACTCCGCTGCTAAAGTTGGCGGAAACAGCAAGCTTCTCACTTGCATGCCCCACTTCCTTCATCATGTCTGTCCTGCAATACCGGTCGGACGTCGCACTCGCGAACGCAATCCGAAAGATGCCAGCCCAATGGCTTAACCAGTAGCGTCGTCCTTCTCTTTGTTGGTGAGATCGCTATGCTGCGAGCTGGGCGCGGTTTAGTTGAATTTATCTTCGCCCAGCTTGACAGTCTGATGGTCGTAGCTGCGCTTGCCTTCCGTCGCGCTCAACATGAGTTCGCGGCCGATGCTTCTCTTCGCCATGGGGTCGGCGCGCGTGCATCTGGTGTTGCGCCACAGGATGTCGTTGAGCTGCTTAGTGCGTAGCTGATCTGAGAGCCACCAAGAGGTGCCTGACCATGCTGCTCTCCGACGGCGTCCGAACAGGGCCCATGGCCAGGGCAGCGAACACGGACATGCCGTCGGACACTAACTCGGCCAGTATGGCTTACCCACCTCACCCACTCAGCCTTCTGATCTCCGCGGGTGAAACAAGTCAACGCACCGTCTCGTGGTGCAAGGTCCGGAGGCAGGCCCGTCAGCTGCTCCGCTGGCGGCGAGCAGCTCCGAACCACATGAAGATCGACACTCAAGTTTGGGCGATCGGCTCACAGAGCCGAGCAAATTTCGTACCTGTTTGCCAGCGCTGTGGTACTTGACCATACCATGTATGCGGCCCCTCTCATGCCGCGCCGAGTCTCAGCCCCCCCCCGCTTGAACGACCCGTCGCTGCGCGCGCACGGTCGCCCGGCGCACTCCATCGCCGGGAAGGCGGCGCGCGCCTTAATCTTCTGCGCGGCGAGAACTACGGAGTTGAGCTGCGTCGCGCGAGTAATGAGCAGCTTGTTCCTGGACATCTGCAGCGCGACGACGCGCGCGGCGACGCGGCGTCGCGCGAGCAAAGCGCGAGCTGATGCTCCGAAGAGAAAAACAAGGAGGTCTGGAAGCTGACCTCCTGCTGGCTAGTCGGCCATCGCCTTGGCTAGGTCGACTCGCCCGACTTGGGTCAGGGCGTCGATGCGCTCGTCCTGGTCGAGCGTCGCAGTTCTGTCGGAACCGCGACGCTGGCGCGCGTCGCAGTTGTTCAAGTCATCTCAGTCGTCCTTCATTTTGCCGAAGACGCTCTCGACGTGGCCGATTGACAGGTCATCGTGCCCATGGCGGCCGGCGACCTTCAGATCGTCAACGTGCATAGACAGCACGCGCGCAAGCCCTGGGCCGCCGGCGCCATAGGCATCGGACGACTCGCGCTTGACATCTAGCTCCGGGCCACACCTCGCCGGCTTTGAAACGCACTCTGATGGGCGCTTGGCCCGGGCGAGACTCTTTGAGAAGGACCTTGGCTCATCCTTGCAGCCCGCGCGCGGCTTGATTGAGCGCGGGCACACGGCCCGCTCGCCAAGAGACTCGTCGCCCGGCACCTACCTGAAGATAGCCGCGCTGCCAGGCGGCAGGGCGAAGTTCACTACGCGGCGCGCTTCGCCCTGCCCCTGCATCTCGGTGGGCCATGCCCTGCGCGAGTGCGCGAGCGCCGTCTGAACGTCCACGGCGACGCGCGCCCACCCTGGGCGCTGCGACGCCCGCTTCTCTGCCCCGGCGAACGCCTCGAGGGCCCCGGCGCCTGCGTCGCAGAAGCCTCTCAGCGCCGCGCGGCGCCAGGTGCATCCCGCGGCCGTGCCGCCCGACCCCATCCGGCGCTTCCAAGCGAAGACGCGTCTGGAGTCCGCGACGTTTCGGGCGCCTTTGAAGGGGCGTCTCTCGAAACACGTTGCACGTGTGACAGATAGTGAGCTCCTCGAGGATGGCCGCGGCGACTTTCCTCGACAGCCTCGATGCTGCCTCTTCGGCCAGGAAGTCGGCATCGCGCATGGTCGCCACGGTCTCGACGGCGACGTAGACCTTAAGAACGTATGTCGTGGAAGCGCCGGCAAAAGAATCACCAGACGGTTCCTCGCTGCAGATCAAGAATGTTTCGCGCGCCCCTTGGCCCAGGTATAACTCCGCATGTTCTCCGCCTTCAGCCCCCGCCTCAAGCGCGGCGCAGTCGCCCGCGGAGGTGCCGCGCAGGTATTAGTGACGCTGCGCGAGGATGCTCCGACGCTGGCGCTGCGTCTCCAGCTGCTGGGGCCATTCGCGTGGCGCGCGGTCAATGCCGGTCGCGGCGTGCTCGGCGGCAGCTGAGATCTGCCGCTGACTGTCGGCGCCCCCCAGCCCCCGCAGCTCCTGCGTCGGGCCATATGCCCCCATCTTCTTGCCGGGCTGCCGACACCACCTGCTGGGTGTGGCTGCGAAGTCGCCGTCGGGCTCTCCTGGCATGACCGGCAGGGCCGATGGCGGACCCCCCTAGGTAACGCTGGCGGCGCCATTGGCGTCGATGACATAATCATAATCGAACGCCCCGTCCTGGCCCCGCCCGGCGTCGGCTGCCAGCAGCTGTTCGTCACGCAGGATAAACTGGATGTCGCGAGCGCCCTTCCACTTCTCACCGAGATGTTGGGGGGCATCGAACTTGGCGACGCCCAAGTGCAACTGCTGAGCCAGGCCGCTCCAGTCGCTCACAGACTTCCGGCCGCGCACGAGGACGCGCGGCACGAACGCATGGCCGCCGAGAACATCTGCGAGACAGGTGGCGCTGATCCTGGAGGATGTCACGGCGTTGCCGAGCCAACGCGGTCAGCCGCGTGCCCATCGCGTCCTCCCAGTGGCGGAAGATCTCGGCCCCGGAGCCTGGCCCGATGTACTCCAGGCGGTCCTCAGCGCGATCCCTGGCCAGGCATGCTGGCGCCGTGCCGTTGAGGCGAGACGAGACTCTGGCTGCTTGGCGGATCTCGTTGAGGTCGCAGTTCGCCACTGACCAGATCATGACCTCCCGCGCCCAGCGTTTCAATGGCACCGGGCACGCGAGCTCGCTGCTCGTGCCCCCCGGCGCGGAGGTGCCGAACGTCGGCGCCGCCGCCGCCACCAGCGTCCACGCAAGCGATGCAGCTGATATGGCGGCAACCCAGCCTGCTCCGACGGCCTTCTATCCAGAGTGGGGCCCCCTCCATGTATCGAGGTGGCGCCGGAGTCCTGGTACCCACCAGCGTAGCTGCTTTGGTAGAGAACCTCGAAGCCGTCGTGGGTATCTGTGCCGGGCGTGCTCGTCCTCGTCGGCGCATTGGGCATGTTATTCTGTCGTGTGTGCGGGGGGCGATCGGCACTCGGAGCATCCTACAACATACTCATGGGAATGCTCGTCGCGCGCAATGCTGTCACTGTACTAAGCACCGCCCACTGTACGATAGCCGACGGAAATCCGCCGCGGCATCCAGGTCTGCCAGGAAGCAGGGAGTGCGCAGGATATGGTGAGGGTCATGTTCCAGGAATATGAAGGCGAATCGTATCAAGTTCGTTTCGCGGTCCCCCAAAGTGCTGACAACATAATCGTCAAACCATCCTCTATATTTCCGCTCTTTTCTGCCTCGATCTCCCCTGGCTGTGGCAAAATATTTGACAGGCGCTCGGGGCACTCCGCTAACACCAGGGGTGCGAACGTCGGACCAATCGATTGTCTTACACACTCGGCTTCGCCCACAGGCGGATGCCATGGAGGCGTCGTCTCCGTTGCCTCATTCTCCCACTGTTCCTGCAACATTGTCACAGTCACAGGACTACCGGGACTTGCTGTCAACACCGAAGATGTGAACGTTGTGTCAAGCAGCTGAGGGTGCACTCACAGGCGAATGCGCCGATTGCGGCAAGCCCATGAGTCTCAAACATAGTCTGGGCAAGCCTGGGAGAGAAAGGGTGCCGAGGGAGGCCGGTCCTTGGTGTGGGATGATGTTTTCGTGCGCGTCCAGCTTCGACGCGCCTGGCGGCTGAGCGGGTGATGCCCCGACGGCCCCGAAAGGCGCGTCGCCTGCCGGGGCGAAGTGGAAGCACAGCGCGAGTGCGAACCTGGAGCGTGTAGTAGACCACGTTAATGTAGAGCGGGATGCACAGCGGTCGCAGCTGGGGCGAAGGAGCGCCACGCGGGCCATGGCTGCTAGTGGAAGGGAGCGGAGGAGGAGGAGGAGGAGGAGGAGGAGGAGGAAGAGGAGGAGGAGGGGGGGAGGAGGAGGTGGGGGGGGGGAGCCACTGGCATGCGCCGATGCGCGTCGCGCTGGCAGGTCGGCGGCGGGGCCCTTCCACGGTGGCGAGGCCCCGCGCGCTCCCGGGGCAGAGGGCGGGGCACCCGAGCTCTGCTTGGCGGCAATCGGGCGATGGGGGGTCGATGCGACCCCGCTTGTGCTGGCGAGCGGCTTCTTATTCGGCGTTTCGACATCGGGCAGAGGGGGGGTGGGGGGAGGGGGGGGGGGGTCTGGCTCTGGGCCTCTGCTTCATGCGGCTGGTCGCAGCACTGGGTCCTATGGGGGAGGGTCCACCTGTCTGAAAAAGGCGCCCAAACAGCCAAGATCTACTCCAGGGGATCGGGGGCCAGGGCCTGCGCCGATCGGCAAAACAATGACTTAAAAAACGGCGACTTGCATCCTCGGGGGACCTCGTCGGTCCCGTCGCGGCCCTGTCCGCGTCGATTCCGTGTCCAATGCGCGTCGAATATCCGCGTCGAGTCCGCATCGAGCCCGCGTCGAGCCCGCGTCGGGCACAAGACAAAACACCAATTTTGGGAACAGGCAAAATCCTCCGAAAATGCAACGTGTACCCGCCCCCATTTGGAGCCATCACCCCCCCTTCGAACAGGGGGGCGGGGGATTGCTAAGACGAGGCCAGGGCTGGGACGACATCGGACCGGGACAAACCGGTGATCTCTGAGATCTGGCGGTTCTGGAGGGTGTCTCGGGCTCCGCGGCTGCCCCAGGGAGCTTCGGAACGCTCTGAGAGCGTTCCGGAACGCTCTGGAACAACTTATCCTGGCCTCAGCCCCGCCCGGAGTGCTCCCAAGGGCAGTCGGCGGCTGGCCTTGTCGGCAAGCCGCACCTTCACGGTGGCGTAGCACAGCGTCGCCGCCAGCACCGACAGGTCTCCGGGCCCCAGGCCACCGCCCTCGCCGCTGGCGCCGCCCGCGGTGGCCCAGGCCTGAGGGGCAGCGGTAGGGGGGGACTGGCATACAGGGGTATGCGTCGACCTGGAATCGGCGATACATCGCCGATAGATCGGCGCTAGACCCCCGATAGTGAATCCGCACCTGGCTGTGCAGGTTGAGGCTGTCGGGCCCCCATTGGCGATCAATGGGCGATTGGGGGATCGATGCATCCCCCCCTATGGCTGTCCCCCCTATCGTTGCCCCCGAAGGCCGTGGCCCCGAAGGAGACCAGGCAGCCCAGCCACGTCTCCGGGGCGACCGTGCGGTCCTGGCGGCTGCTGCCGATCGTCGCGGACAGCAGCGGGGTGAGCACGTTGATGCTCGCCAGCAGCAGTGCAGCACGGACGACCGTGGTGTGCTCGATGCCCCAAGTGTTAAACAGGGTGCCTGCGAGGAGTGCTCCTCCTCCCTCCTCCCTCCTCCTCCCTCCTCCTTCTCCTCCTTCCTCCTCCCTCCTCCTCCTCCTCCCTCCTCCTCCTCCTCCTCCTCCTCCTCCTCCTCTTCCTCCTCCTCCTCCTCCTCCTCCTCCTCCTCCTAAGGCCCCAGCCGCCCCCTCCTCCTCCCCAGACCCCTAGCCACCAGAGTAGAGGGTGCGGCTGCACTCGCCCTGGCTCAGCTGGAGCCCATGTCTCTTCGCCACCGCTGGGGGGGAGACGACACCGCCGCCGCCACAGACGACTACGACGACGATTAACGACGATGACGACGACGACGACGACGACGACGACGACGACGACGACGACGACGATTGCGATGGCAACGGCGACGGCGACTGCGACAGCGACGGCGACTTCGACGGCGACGGCAACGGCGACGGCGACGGCGGCGGCGGCAACGACGGCAATAATGACGGCAGCGGCGACGGCGACGGCGACGGTGACCCCTGAGACTCGACATCGCGGAATAGAATAATCACGACCGGAGCACGAAATCACATCTTCCTGCGGCACTTCTCGAGCCGGATCCACCAAGAAGGGGCCCCAGGGCCCGAAGCTCGGCGAAAACGCCCAGCGCAAAAAACTGCAACCGCTGACACCCGCCGACGTGGCTGTGCCAATACGCGGGCCCCAGCGGTCCCGACCCCGTCCTTGGGGCAGGCCTTTGCCCCAGGTCCGTGTTTGCTGGCCCCGGGCCCGATGATGGGACCCGGAAGCCGAAAAATCAAGGCAAAACGCCCAGATTGGGAAAATCGTATCGTCGGCGATCCGTGGAGACGATCGGATCTCAGGGACGACCGAATTGTCGGGCGTTCGTGAAAGGGAGGAGGAGGAGGAGGAGGAGGAGGAGGAGGAGGAGAAGGAGGAGGAGGAGGAGGAGGAGGGGAAGCAACGCGGGGTGCAGCAGCGCGCACCTTCCGTGCACTTGCTGGGCCCGCAGTGGCAGCCTAGGGCCGCTCGGCCCGGGCCACTCCCCTGCAGGCCTCGACCCCCCCCCCCACGATTCTTGCCCCCCCGCTTCGGCTACACTCAGGTCGGGCCTGTCCCCCTACAGGGCGATTTCCGACGAAAAATCCTGAATACGCACAAAATATGCCAAAACGGAAAAAAAGCCCAAAACATAGTCCCCAGACTATGTTTTATTATTTTTGAAGATTCCCCCTGTAGAGGGGCAGGCCCGACTTCAGGCTACGCGCCAGAGCGGCCCCGGGCAAGAGCGACCTTTGGTGCGCGGCGTGCGGGCGCCGCGGGGGTCCAGCTCCAGACGCGCCAGCCAGTGTTGGGGGGGGGGGCCCGGGGGCCCACACTTCTGCCTCTCCTCCTGGTTCTCCTCCTTTTCCTCCGTCCCACCTCCCCTCCCCTCCCTTCTTCTCCTCCTCCTCCTCCCTCCCTCCCTCCCTCTGGCTTCCTTCCCCAACAGAGGTCACCCTGGCGAAGAGTCACTCTCACGCATGGCCGACCGCTGCACTCCGCACGAGCGCGCTCAGCGACGATCGGATCTCACGGACGGCCGGTGACCAGGCCTGCTCGGGGGCGCGCAGACATGGATTAGCGATCCATGCATTCGACGCGCGGTCGCCAAATCCATGGATCGGGGGAGGTGCTCTCCCCAAAATGCAGCCGGTGCCGCCCCGCTCGGCGGCGGAAATCTGCGACTTCCCATGGGAACGGGACCCGTCGCTGATACACACCCCCTTGATCCATGTTCGCGATCGCCTGAAAATTGCTTCTCCCCAAACCCTTCCTCTGGGACCCCAATCGGACCAGTTCGGAGGGAAGGGGGTCGGGTCTATGTTTGCGGTCTCCTGGCCTGCGGTACCCACAGCGGCCAGCTCCAGCGCCGCCTCGGCCAGGCCGGTCATCGGAGCGCGGGCGCCATCGGAGCCTGGCGACTCCTCAGCGCCTCCGGGCGCCGCCGACCCTCCCTTCCAGGCATCCCCTCTGGGCGTCCCCCGCCCTCCTTCTCCTCCTCCTCCTCCTCCTCCTCCTCCTCCTCATCCTCCTCCTCCTCCTCCTCCTCCTCCTCCATTCTTTTTCCTTGTGAATAACTGCTCCCTGACCACCCCGAGGCCAGTCGGAAGGGCGGGCTGGGCGTTTCGCCTAAGATTTCTAAAGCTAAAAAACTGAAGCTTCAAAAACTTACAACACTTTCGCAGATGGAAGATGGCTGTGTTGAAAAATGTGACACTCATTGGAAAAAGTGGCGAGAGCGTCACGGATTGAGGACAAGTATTTCTCAAAATGTGGCTCTCGCCTTAGCGCCGCGCCCATTCGCTTCAAACGTTGCAAGGGTTTCCCGGATTGGATTCAGGTGGTATTTTGTGGTTTTCAAAACGTGGTTCTCGCCTTAACGCCGCGCACACTCGTTGAAAACATTTGCAAGAGCGTCACGTATTGAGGACAATTGATTTTCAAAATGTGGCTCTCGCCCTGGCGCCGCGCACATTCGTTTCAAACATTGCAACAGTTTCGCGGGTTCTCATGGCTAACGTACCAGAACTGTTTTTGTAACGATTCAGGACAGTCAGGGCGCAACAGTTACGCTGATTCGCGGTGCTCAAGTCCCAGAAATGGTGTCCTGGCCGCAACAGTAAGGTTAACGCGCGGCGTTGGAGCCATGAGAATAGCGTTTTGGCACGATTCCGGATTTTCACACGGTTGTCTCCCAAGAGGCACTTGCGTCAGTGGGAATGAACCTTTGTAGGGGCCTATGAAGAGGAAGCTTGGAGGAAGGGTGTATTCCAACATCCATGATGACTCTTGGGATTACACTGGCCCTTCTCCTCCTCTTCGTCTTCCTCCTCCTCCTCCTCTTCCTCCTCTTCCTCCTCCTCCGCCTCCTCCTCCACTTAGTATGTTTAAGAGCATGTCCATCCTCATTATAATTATTACTCGTATTTCTAATGGCTGCAGTAGTAGTAATAGTAGGCAGTAGTAAAAGTAGTATCAGTAGTAGTAGTAGTAGTAGTAGTAGTAGTAATAGTACTAGTAGTACTAGTAGTAGTAGTAGTAGTAGTAGTAGTAGTAGTAGTAGCAGTAGTAGTAGTAGTAGCAGTAGCAGTAGTAGTAGTAGTAGTAGCAGCAGTAGTAGTAGTAGTAGTAGTAGTAGTCGTAGTCGTAGTAGTAGTAGTAGTCGCGTCGTCGTCGTAGTGATAGTAGCCGTATAGTAGTAGTAGTAGTAGTAGTAGTAGTAGTAGCAGTCGTAGTCGTAGTCGTAGTAGTAGTAGTAGTCGTAGTAGTAGTAGTAGTAGTAGTAGTAGTAGTAGTAGTAGTAGTAGTAGTAGTAGTAGTAGTAGTAGTAGTAGTAGTAGTAGTAGTAGTAGTAGTAGTAGTAGTATTAGTAGTAGTAGTAGTAGTAGTAGTAGTAGTAGTAGTAGTAGTAGTAGTAGTGTGGTAGTGGTAGTCGTCGTAATATAAAGTAGTACGACTACTAGCGTTAAGAGTAATAACGTGGTTAGTATTATTCGTTTGCGTATGATTGCTAGTACCATTACAATTTCTAGCATTAGCACTGTTAATAACATGAGAAGAATAACAATTCCATGGTCACGTAAACAGAATTTTACGATTGGTAAGATTACTGTAATTCTTATGCTAACGATAGTACTACTATTATTGGTGCTACAATTGTTTGGCCCTGTCAGTACTGTTCTTCTTATTCTTCATGATATTCTTATTATTATTATAATTATTGCTAAGGTTCCTCTTCCTCCTCCTCCTCCTCCTCGTCCTCCTCTTCCCTCCATCTCCTCATCCTCATCTTCCTCCTTTTGTCTGGGACATTTTCCGCACCGCACTCCATGAGCAACAGGAGGCAGGGTCGCCACATTTGCGGCCCTGGAAAACAAGATTAGCGGAAGCCTTAGCCTTGCTAAGACTGACGGCGCCGCCAGAGGACCCTCAAGCTCCGCACTTGGGGGGCAAATGATCAGAAAGAGAACTAAGTCTTAACCACTCACCCCGCCACTCGGACGCACGGGCACCAAGACGTCAAAAGCCCGACATACGCCCGAGAGGGTCACGAAGCCAAGGGAGTTTACCGTTGCAGAGCATCAATTATGTTTCGATGTATACTTGGAAATGTTACGCCCACTGGCCAGGCCACCTGGCCGTCCAGTGGTGCAGTCAGTGGTGTAGCTCCTACACCGGTTGCAAGACAATGCCGCCTGGCCAAAAACAGGGGTTCGGGCCACCCTCCAATCGTGCGGCGGGGAGACCCGCAGCGGGGAAAAAAAAAGGTCACAGAGCGACGGGGCACGAGAGCCACAGTCAGACTTGACAGCATTTGCTTGTTCCACAAAAGGTCGGGCGTAATGGATGCACGACCATCATGGTCCACCCAAACGCTGTTGCGGGCCAGACCGATGGAGGTGGGCGGGCTGCGCGGGACCTTCGGCTCCTTGGCAAGATCCCCAAAGAGCTCCCTGACAGGGGGGCACGCCCGCAGCATGCACACGCCTCCGCAAATTTACTCCAAGCCACTTGGGCAGCAATGTGAGCAACACCATTCGGGGCCCTGTGCAAACCCACAGCTGCCTTGGCAAAAACGATAGCCCACGCGTTCCCACTGGTTTTCTACATTGCTTGGCATATCTCCTCATCGTACTCACTGACATGGGCCTTCCAATCGGACTCCGGGCTCTTGGTTTAAACATGTCCTGAACACCCCGTATCAGAGCAGCACTGTGCACGCACACATCCATCCCTCCTGCTTCGTCGGGTCTGGATTCGAGGAGGTCCTGGTGTTCGATGGTGCGCATGAGCCAGCAGCGTTCTGCTACTAGCACTGCAATTTGGGGATGGACTCGAGAAATGGACCCCGACGCGCCTCGAACAACATGTCCCTCTTCATCAATCTCGACAGACGCCCAGCCCACTCGAGCTGCAACGCCCACTCGTGGGTCCAAGACTGAGACCCATCCAGACAAACCCTGGCACCGAACTCAAGCTGAAGACGGGCCCGCGGGCCCGCTGACGTCGAAATGCGCAACAGTCCTCGATCGGTGCCTCGGGCTCGACCCCGGGAGCTGGCATCAACAGGGAGTTGAAGAGCGGGTCGGATTTCCCTGCCTCCAACGCATCCTGCACAACATCCTGTTCCACACTGTTCCTCTTCGGTCCTCCATGGGGGGCAGATCCAGATCCTGTAGAAAAAGGAATCGGCATGGCCCACGTTCCGTGGCACGTCCCGTGGCGCGCCCCCCTGGCACGTCGCGCGGCGCGTCCCCTGGCACGTCCAGTGGCACGTCCACTGGCACATTCCGTCTCGCGTCCTTTTGGCACGTCTCGCGGTGAGTCCCTATGGCACGTCCCCTGGCACGCCCCCTGGCGCGTCCCTTGGGACGTTCCGCGGCGCGTCCTCTTAGCATGTCCCTTGGCGCGTTCCGTAGCATGTCCCTTGCTTGGCGCGTCCCCTGACACGTTACTATGTGGCACGGCACAGCGCAAGGCACAACGCAGCCCCTGGCACAGTACCAGCACAATCGATATCTTCAGCATGGCCACTGCCAGTCGCCCAATTGGCGTACTTTGAAACCGTTCTATGCCTCGCAGTTCTGAATCGTTTGCCAAGTTCATTGGTGGATCATGTTCACGAGAACGCTATCGACGGGAGTAAAGTCGATCTCGCAGGAATCCTAGCATCAGTGTGCTGCCTAACTGCTGCACAAGTGCGCCCTTCTCACACGGTCGTAACCCAATGTGCAAAACAACTCCTCCCCTTCCTCCTCCTCCTCCTCCTCCTCCTCCTCCTTCTCCTCCTCCTTCTACTCCTCCTCCTCCTCATTCTCCTCTTTCTCCTCCTCCTCGCCCCCCCACATGGCATGCCACCCCCCAACCTGGATTCGATCGGATCTGAACTGATCATCAGGGCGACGGGTTGATAGCCAATGGCCAACGACTGCTGTACATCACCCCCCGTCTTCGGCCACGAGGTCAGGCACCCACTCATCCGTCACAATTGAACTTAAGGGTGAAGGAGCCCTCCCGTGCCCTAATAGTCCAGCCGAGACAATCCCCTCCTCCCTTCTCCTTCCTCCGCCCCGGCTTGGGAAGCCTTCTTGGGCCTCCAGAGGCCTCCAAAGACCGAGGATCGAGGAACGAGGATTAAGGATCCAGGTGTTCGAGGCCTGTTCCTCCGGAGACCTCCGGGGCCGCCTCGTCTCTCGTCGCAGTTTCTGCTGCGCCCTTGCCGATTAAAATATAATAATATTGATGATAATATTAATAGTCATACTAATAATAATAATAGAAAAATAATATTGTTAAGAATAGCAATAATAATATTAATAATAATAATAATAGCTAACAACAATAATTATAATAATCAGAATAACAGTAGTAATAATAATAATACCAAAAATAGTAATAACAATAATAGCAATGATAAAACGAATAATTATAGCAATACTAACAAGCATAAAATAAATTTCAACAAAAAAATAAACATAAAAAACGATGGAAGGCAAAGTGAGCGTTTCAGTAAGCCCCTCCCTTATGATCCTATGGCGCGCCCCATGTCACGTCACTGCGCGGCACGGCACAGCGCAGCACAGCACAACGCAGCCCCTGGCACCGTATCATCACCATCGATATCTTCAGCACTGCCACTGCCCATCGCTCAATTGATGTCCGTTGGAACGTCTCCGTGCCTCGCACTTCTACATCCCTCTCTGGGCGCGCGGGTCAATCATTTTTGGCGGCAAGGGCCCCCAGAGCTCGCGAGCCCAATCCCTGGGGCAGCTTGTTCGTCCTGGGTCTTCGCTCGGCGGCCCTGGGGACTAGAAACGGGCTCCCAAAGCACGAACAGAAGAAAGGATTGCAAATGATTGCAATCCGTCGTTGTTTTTCAATCCTTCGGTTTTTTTTTGCAATCCTTGGTTTGTTTGCAATCCCTCGTTTTTTGCAATCCTTCGGTTTTTTTGCAATCCGTTGTTTTTTTTGCAATCCAGGGTTTTTT